TGAATGAAATAACATGCCCCAATTTCTGCCTCATGGACGCTTGATTAAACCACTGCTGTCTTTGCTGCTACCATTTCAACATAACCACAGAGCCCCGAGGCATATTTTGTTTTTCTAAATATTGCAGTATTGAAATTGTTTACATTAGTCTGTGACGGATCTTTGAGCAAAATATTGTTCTACCAATTTCCAGAAAATATATAATTTCCATTTTAACCTGTTGTTATTGAGCTGTGCGTGTTTGTGTAAATATGTACAGTACTGGCTAAAGTTAGATTGCATTCTCTTTAACCCAAACTTTGACAAAGGGTCATGTTACCTGTGATAGTAAATTCAAATGGAAGGAGGCAGGGGTGAAATCTACTTACCTTTCCAACCAATTCGGAAGTGCACACGCCACATACATGCACGCTTGGACCCTCTGCACATGTGCAAACCCTTCTGCGCATGCACAGAGGGTAAAAAACAGTTTACTTCCTAGTTAAAACCAGGACGTAATGATGACCGGGCGGGTGGGCAGAGCCTTGCACCGCCATCGCTACCGGTTCTCCGAACCACTGGCCGCCATCGCTACAGATTCAGCCGAACAGGTCCAAACCGGGAGCATTTCACTCCTGGAAGGAGGCCCTGAAAAAGAGAAGACAATTCTGCTGAACACATGCAAGACAAATCAGATAGGAACATTAACTCTGATCTTCAAGATGTGTGGCCTTCCATTCCCAGAATTTCCCAATCCCTATTGCTGAGAATCCTTGCATCAATTCTTGGAAGTTAACAATGTTGTGAAATACCAGTCAATGAATGAACATGAACAGGCATGTGCTGCTCTAGAAAATCTCCCTTAGCCTCCTGGCTCTTGCCTCACCAGCTTTCCCGTCAGCTCTCTAAATTAAATGTCTTTGGAGATTCTCAGTCATCCAGGTCATGGTTGTCCCAAAGGTGCTTTTTCAAAGAGCAGCTGGACTTTGTTTTTCCTTGAAGACATTTCGCTTCTCACCCAAGAAGCTTCTTCAGTTCTTACCAACCTCTATATGGGATTTACTGTATATCAGAAACAGGCAAATGGATACTTTTGGATTCTTGGTCTCCCCTTATGTTACCAAACTTAGTTTAGATAAAGAATTTATTAATTTAGAGAGTCCCAAAGGTGTTTTTTTTCAAAAGGCTCATTCTCATTCAAGAAGCTTCTTCAAGGCAACTGGACTTTGTTTTTTTCCTGAAGACGTTTCACTTCTCATCCAAGAAGCTTCTTCAGTTCTGAGAAGTGAAACACCTTCAACGAAAAAACGAAGTCCTGTTGCCTTTTGAAAAAGCAACGACTTTGAGACTCTCAATGTTAATAAATTCTTTATCTAAACTAAGTTGAGTTAACACATGGAATCTGGGGGAAACCAAGAATCCATTTGCCTCTTTCTGATATACAGTAGATCCCACATAGAGGATGTCATAATTACCCTGAGTGAACTTGAGAAGGAGATAAATTCAACCACATGCTTGGGGCTATTTAAAGTCCGACTTCCTAACCTTCTTCTTAAGATTGACATTTGTTTTCCTGAATCCCTGAAGTCAGGGGTGGTATTCTATCGGTTCAGACTGGTTCGGCCAAACTGGTAGCTCCGACGATCAACTGCTGGTGGGTTGCTCCCAGTTCTGTCTGGTAGTAAAAGTGGCAGGAGGCTCCGCCCACCCGCCCGGATGTCATCATGGATGATTTGCACATACGCAGAAGCGCGCGTGCATGCACGCGAGTGAAGCAAGTATGCACACACGCTCCCATTTCAAATCGGTAATAAAGGTAAGTAAAACCTACCCCTGATCAACTGGGCCCACCTGCCCGCCCCTCCACTTTACTCAGTTATATCTTCACAACTGATTAGCAGCAGAGCGGATTGCCACGCCTCAGCTGTTTTAATTCCCTAGCACTAACGCGGAAGGTGATTTTTCATTCAATTGCGCACCCATGCAAAGCACGCGATCACCGAACCGGTTGTTAAACCGGTAGGATCCCACTACTGCCTGAAGTCCTGTGCAAAATTCAAACTGAACTTCTAGTAAGTACACAGAAAGAGCAACAGAGCTTTCTTGACAAGAATATCAATGAGTTTGGCATGACTCTCTTCCAGAATGTGTTTAAACCTCTCAATCTACATTTGTGGTTTCTCACCCAGTAGTAGCCAACTCTGCCCTGCTTACCGATAAGGGAGAGAATTTGTAGCTCAGAGTTGAAGTGAGGGGTCCTTGAGGCTCTCTGGGCTTGCTTGTTTTCTTGCAGATGTTTAGATAACATCATCAGCGCACTGGTAATGAAACTTCTGCAAGAAATAAAACAACCAAGCTCAGAGAGCACCAAGGACTCCTGCCCCACTTAGCTTTTTCAAGATCAGCCAAGCTTGCCAGACGCTGCCCCTGATGTAGGAAAGCTCCAGTTACCCATAGACTAGACCAGTGTTTCTCAACTCAACAAGTCTAAGATGTGTGGACTCAGAAATATAAGCCAAGTTTCTGGACTTTTGACCAACCTAGCAAATTCATCTTTCCCAGTTAAAAAAGAGCCTGGTGGCGCAGCAGACTAATAGCCTGTTATTAACATTCAGCTGCCTGCAATTACTGCAAGTTCGAATCTCCCCAGGCTTAAGGTTGACTCAGCCTTCCATCCATTTCTAAGGTAGGTAAATTGAGGACCCAGTTTGTGGGGGCAATAAGCTGACCTTGTATAAATATACAAAAGTATGAAGGCTATTGCTTAACGCATTGTAAGCTGCCCTGAGTCTCCGGAGAAGGGCGGCATATAAATCAAATTTTTTTTAAAAAATAGGGTTTTAAACTTGGTTATATAAAATAATATATAATATAATAAAATATTATATTATATAAAATAATATAATAAATATTCCCAACGAAAAGGTTTAAACAGCTACCTTTGAAAGGGCTATCCTGTTGTGGAATGATGAGACCAAACAACATTCCTGGGTCAGCCAGAGACAGTTTTATTGCGCAAGGTTCAGAGCCAGTTTTGTACCTGAAGCCTTGAACAAGGAAAGAACACTGATGCAACTGGTTTTATACATTTCTAAGACAAAGGATTCAGTGAGATCATACATTTTCCATATATGGTTAACATAAGATCATACATCCGATTTTCCCTATATGGTTACATACAATATGTTCATCTAACTACTTAAACCATTAATTTTAGTTTATAAAATTATCTTAGCCACACAACTTTTTCTTAAGTGCTCGGAGTTGCTAATGAGAGATTTACTACTGTCCTTGGGTAAATTTATTGGATGAAGTAACTCTTTGTAACATATAGGTCTTTGTGTCATTCACAGTGAGGTCATTCAGATGTTTTCCATATGGCGGTCCTTTCGTGACATCTAGGTCTTGTCAGAAGATATATTACCACTTAATGAGGTTTAACTGTTTGTTAATATAATCTCCAACAAGCACTTTCCTCTCTTATAATAATGTGAATAGAGAGGTTCTCTCAGAGTTCATGTATCTAAGCACGTCTTCCCCTTATAATAATGTGAATAGAGAGGGTCCTCCAGAGCCCATATATCTGACTCTGTATGGTTCCTTTCTTTTATCTACATTAATCCTATAGTTTTATTCTGAGAATGGCCCCATACATTCCTTTATCATTTAAGGGGATCGAAGGACCACAAACCCAGAGAATTGTAGTGCAAATCTAGCCATTTTTTGTCGTTCCAGACATTTTCTCCCAGCCTTCTTCTCTGTTAGCCAAGCTTCTTAACGTGGCTAAAAAGTCAGCAACATCTCCAGGCTCCCATGGCCCTCCCATCTTCCCTTGCATTATACAACCTACAGATTTCTGAGAAGTGTATTCAGAAGGCATGGTTGTGCTGAAGCAGCAACAATTTTTGCAAATTTCATTCCCACAAACTTGGAAATCTAGTCCTGCCTTAAACATAAAGCCAGTTGAGTGGCTGTGGGCCAGTCACTTTCTCACAGCCCTAGGAAAGAGGCAGTAGCCAATCACTTCTGAAGAACCTTGACAAGGAAATTGCAGGGAGTTATCCAGGCAGTCTCCAAAAATCAGACATGACCGAACTAGTGGTGGAATTCAATTTTTTTTACTACTGTGGGTGTGGTTTGGTGGGCATGGTGTGGCTTGGTGGGCATGGCTTGGTGGGTGTGGCAGGGCAAGGATACTGCAAAATCTCCATTCCCACCCCACTCTGGGGACAGCCAAAGGTGGTATTTGCTGGTTCTCCAAACTACTCAAAATTTCCACTACCGGTTCTCCAGAACTGGTCAGAACCTGCTAAATAGCACCCCTGGACCGAACAGAAGAAAATACATATAAATGGCAAAACTTAATTAGAAAAAAGACAATTTCTGCTAACTGGAAGACTTTTTGCATGAAACAAGGGGGAAACAAAGAATGTATGACTTATGGTTTTGATGATAAGAAAAAAATACAGTAGATATAGGTAGTCCTTGACTTACAACAGTTTATTTAATGACCATTCAAAGTTACAATGGCACTGGAAAATGTGAGTTATGTTTTGACCTATGCAGCGTCCCCGTAATCTTGTGATCAAAATTAAGATGCTTGGCAACTGACTCATATTTATGATGGCTGCAGTTTTCCAGGATCACGTGATCCCCTTTTGTGATCTTCTCACGAGCAAAGTCAATGGGGAAGCCAGATTCACTGAACAACCGGGTTACTGACTTACCAACTGCAGTGATTCACTTAACAACTGTGGCAAGAAAGATCATAAAATGGGGCAAAACTCACTTAACAAATGTCTCACTTCACAACTGAAATTTTGGATTCAATTGTGGTCGTAAGTTGAGGACTAGTTCTGTGTGTGTGCGTGTGTGTTTGTTTGTTTGTTTGTTTGTGTGTGTGTGTGTGTGTGTGGAGAGAGAAAGAGAGAGGGGGGAAAGAGAGAGAGAGGGAGAAAGAATGAGATGAAAGTAGGGAAGGGATTTACTGAGCTTAATTGCACAAGTAACAAGAGGGAGTAAAAGTTAACTTAGAGCTCTCTGCTGCCAAGAAATGTGGTCTGTGGCTCAAAAGGTTTGCCACATTTTAGATAAACTGCAAATATTTTATGCTTGTCTTCTTATATCACCCACATCCTTCCTCGGCTGCGGAGCCCCGTTCAGCTGCCTTCGCCTTAAGGCAGAGCAGCAAATGAATTATTAAGCAAAGAGGTGGAACCAAACAGCTAGTATTGAAAGGCACTTAGTTCCTGTTGGAAGAGGAAACAAGCAACTGGAAAGAAGAGCCCTTGAAAAGAAAGGACCGATTGTAGAGAGCTAAGACAAGAGCAGAAACAGCCTTTTGAGAACAGCCCCCAGGAGAAGAGAAAAGAGACGACTCGCACAATGAATAATGAAACAAGTTATGAAAAGATCGCAGACAACATGCCGAACCCCCAGAATCTACCACCTCCTTATTCTGTTGCAGTGCAGCCTCCGGTTCAACCAACTGCCCCCATAGTTTTTCAACCTCCTATGCCAAGCCACCTTTATAATGCCACGGCTGTCCAAGACCCGAAGGAAGAACCAATACTTCAACCTGTTCAAGTCACCAAGGCACCTGACTACCTGGCCTACTCCATCTTCACTATGCTCTGCTGTTGTCTACCCTTGGGTGTGGCTGCCTTAGTTTGCTCTATACTGGTAAGCTGTGTAAAGGGTAGTGGGGCTGGAGAAAGGATCCTGTTCAGATTCCATCAAAACAGAAGGATCCCTTATTTGCTTGCTTGCTTTCTGAAGATGCTTCCTGGCTCTCTGAGGGGGTGAGGGGGAGGGAAGCCAAGAGGGCAAACACACGAGCTGTTTCCTGTTCTTTTGACAAAACACGACTGTGGTAAATGGGGATGGAATGATCCGAGCTTTGCCTTTTGCGTGAATTCGAGCATTAATGTAAATGGGGGGGGGATTGAAGAGTTACAGGGAAAGAAACCGAAAAAGGAGGACGCATGATACAGATAGTAAGATGGTCTCCTAGTTAAAGGCACCAGATTAGAAAATGGGAGACCGTGAGTTCTAGCCCGCCCTAGGAAAGAAAGCTGGCTGGGTGAGTTTGCGCGTTTGCGGTGGGAAAAAATGGAAGGAGGAAGGCGCATACAGTATTTGTAGCTTTGTTTATTATGTTATTATTAATAAAAAAATAATAAAGATGGGATGAAAAGAAATAAATTTGGATTGTGCCTGAGAAGGATGTGGATTTGAATGTTGCCAAACACCAGTTTTTTTTTGTTTTTTAAAAAAATATTTTTATTAAAGTTTTTTTTAAAAAACAAACAAACCAAAAGTAATATTAACATTTTCTTCTTTTCAATAGTTTCGCCTCGGTAATCCATATACATTTTCTCTCTCTTATCTTAGTATGTCCTTTATACATATATTTCTAATATATCATATATATATATATATACCATTATAATGTATTATATTATTTTAATTGTTTTATTTACATTTGACATAAGCGTGTACCAATTTCCTTCCCGCATTTTTTATTTCTTCCCTTTTATTCCTCTATTTCTCCATCTAATTCAACCATTATTTAGTCTTCCCTTGTCCTTTTTTTCCCCTTTTCTTCCAACCATTTATACCATCTCTCCCAGATTAGGTAATATTCTGTTTCTTCTTTTTCTTGTATCTCCTTCGTAAACTTATCCATTTCCGCACACTCCATAATTTTTCTAATCACATTGCCTTCTGATGGTATATTGTTATTTTTCCAGTTTACGCTCATGCTGCTGTAATTATGTGAATGATTAAATATCATTTTTTTTTCATATGACCCTGAAATTATTCCCAGTAAGAAAGTTTCTGGCCTCATTTCTATGTGTTGATTTATAATTTCTTCTATTTGTGTTTTGATTTTTTGCCAGTATTGTTTTGCCTTATGACAGGACCACCACATGTGATAATATGTTCTCTTTTGGTGTTTACATTCCCAACATAGTGAAGTATTAGGAAACATCTTTGCTAATCTGGCTGGTGGCAGATGCCACTTATAAAACATTTTATACATGTTTTCTTTATAGGGTACAGACATTGTTAATTTATAATTTGTATTCCATAATTTCTCCCACTTATCTAATTCAATATTGTATTCAAAAAATTTTGCCCAAATTATCATGTTTTCTTTGACTACCTCTTCTTTCAATTTGTATCTTAATAAATAGTTGTAGATTTTTTTTATCAATTTGTCTTCTGTGCCTTGGAGAATTTTATCTAATTCATATGGTTCCTTTTGAAATCCAAATTGTGTCAAATCTGTCTTGTATCTAGATTTTATTTGCATATAAGGCCACCAATCAATGTCTGTATCCTATTCTTTTAATTCCTGTCTTGTTCTTAGTTCCCCTTAATTATTTAACAAATCTTTGTATCTTCATTTTACTAATATCTAAAGCGTTCTCGCTCCATACACGCTGACATTACTGCCGGAAATGCTTTCTTCTCTTATTGTAGGTTTTTGTATGCATTTTTCTTCAACCAGGTATTTTCCTACGTAAACCAAGTTTCTCAACTTGCAGCCATAGCTCAGTGAGATAAATATTAGATAGATAGATAGATAGATAGATAGATAGATAGATAGATAGATAGATAGATAGATATAGATATAGATATAGATAAAGATATAGATGATATAGATATAGATATATAACATATATTGTGTTCCATCCTTATTATGCTGGTTTGTGACCTCATAAAAATTGGTTTGCCAAACACCTCTTGACTTTTCTGAGCTCTGTCAGTTTCTGGATATAGAAGAAGCAAGAAGAGAAGCTTGGGAAAATTTTGAAGCAAGACACTTTATTGTTTGCACAAGTTGCTCTCTGCCTCACCCAAGATCAGGATTTTTATGGGCTTTTGCTATTGGAGGTTTTATCTCCACTTCCACTCCCTTCCCAGATATTGTAAAATTATGCAATCTTGCCCACATTTTACGTGAATAATTCAGTCCTGCAAATGCTTTTATAGAAGCTGCATTAGCTTTTGTAGAAGCTACATTAGCTTTTGGCTCCTTCCGAATATTTTTGCCTTAGAGATCCTGATGAGACTGGGTGGGAAAATTATTTACTCCCAGAGTTAGCCTTATATTTTAGAAAGTATTTATTAATCAAATCTTAATAGCCACTCAACTCATCAAAGATGATATTGGGTGGCACAGAATGAGATAAAACTATTTAAAAACTATAGATATAAAACATAAAAATCCATATTAATAAATATCAGAAAAACCAAAGATAACATAACCACCAGAGTTGCTTGATTGTGAGATAGGCAGCATTTAAATTAATTGAATGAATGAATCAATAACCAGGTCTTAGGGGCCTTTACGAATATCAAAAGAATGGAGTTCATCCATTTTCAGGGGTAAGAATGTTCCATAAAGTGGGTGCCCTGCAAAGAAGACTCATCTCCTGGGACCCACCAAAGTCACTTATTTCTTTCATATCTAATATTCCTTCCTCCTTATATTTTCCTCCCACAAAAAAAAAACAAAAAAACACAATCCTGTGAGATAGGTTGGGATGAGAGAGAAAGAGAGAGTGACTGGCCCAGCCAGTTTTCAGAATTTTTACTACCAATTCTCCGAACTACTCAAAATTTCCGCTACCGGTTCTCCAGAACTGGTCAGAACCTGCTGAAACCCACCTCTGGTTACACAGATATAGATGGCAAACAAGTTCTCTGTCAGTCATGAGTATTTTCACGCAGAATGAAGAGACAACCATGTTCAGGCAATGGGAAAAAAAATAGAGGCAATTATTAGGGTGTGCTCTGTAGGCAGGGAGTGTGTTTATTTTCCTTTTACGATGAGCTTGTTTTTCTGGGTTTGCATCATACACTGGAGAGGGCCAAGTTCGCACAACCTCACTAAAGAAAGGGAAAAAAAAATATAGGCAGCAAATTTAGGCTAGCATCCTGGGAACTGTGACTTGTAATCCTGCTTTAGGAACAAAGCCAATTTTTTTTTTTTAAATTTGATTTATATGCCGCCCTTCTCCGGAGACTCAGGGCAGCTTACAATGCGTTAAGCAATAGCCTTCATTCTTTTGTATATTTTATACAAAGTCAGTTTATTGCCCCCACAAACTGGGTCCTCATTTCACCTACCTTAGAAAGGATGGAAGGCTGAGTCAACCTTGAGCCTTGGAGAGATTCGAACCAACAGAAATTGCAGGCAGCTGTGTTAATAACAGGGTGCATTAAACCACTGTACTATCAAGGCTCTGTACTATCAAAGCCAATGGGTGATCGAGGCCAGTCAATCCCTCTCGTCCATAAAAAGAAGGCAAGGAGCCAGTTTGGTCTAGTCAATGGTTAAAGCATCGGGCTAGAAAAGTTTACTTTGGGACAATCACACTCTCTAAACTCAACTCACTCCACATGGTTGCTGTTGTGGAGAAAATAGGAGAAAGAAGGTGTGTTGGGTACATTCACCACCTTGAGTTAGAATTAGAATTAGAATAACAGAGTCGGAAGGGACCTTGGAGGTCTTCTAGTCCAGCCCCCTGCTTAGGCAGGAAACCCTACATCACTTCAGACAAATGGTTATCCAACATCTTCTTAAAAACTTCCAGTGTTGGAGCATTCACAACTTCTGGAGGCAAGTTGTTCCACTGATTAATTGTTTTCACTGTCAGGAAATTTCTCCTTAGTTCTTCTCTCCTTGATTAGTTTCCATCCATTGCTTCTTGTCCTGCCTTCAGGACAGGGATGAAATCCAGCAGGTTCTGACAGGTTCTGGAGACCCGGTAGCGGAAATTTCAAGTAGTTTGGAGAACCTGTAGTGGAAATTTTGAGTAGTTTGGAGAACCGGCAAATGCCACCTCTGGCTGGCCCCAGGGTGGGGTGGGAATGGGGATTTTGCAGTATCCTTCCTCTGGAGTGAGGTGGGAATGGAGATTTTGTAGTATCCTTCCCCTGTCATGTTCATCAAGCCATGCCCACTAAGCCACACCATGGCCACCAAGCCACGCCCACAGAACCAGTAGTAAAAAAAAATTGAATTTCACCACTGCTTCAGGTTCTTTGGAGAATAACCTTGACTCCCTCTTCTTTGTGGCAGCCCCTGAGATATTGGAACTTCAATACTGGATATTGAAGTTATTTATAAAAATAATAAAGGTGGGATATAAATATAAACAAATGGCAAGCCACTTCTGAAAATGTTGCCAAGTTCACTGCTAGAACCTGGCCATAGAGTCGCTAGGAATCCAGACCGACTTGAAGGCACAACTTCTAAGTTTACGAGTAATTAAGCCTGGCATGTTTACATGTACACTAATTTACAACTGAGCTGGGGAAGCCTTTATAGTTAGGGACAGAGATTTTGCTAGTGAGTTTGTAATGTGAGCATGGGTACATGCAAATGACAAAACTTAATTATGATCTCAAGGCCAAGCTATAAAATAGCAGGATTACTTTCACATTGTGACATTTCAGCATGCAATTAATCATTTCTTTGTTACTACCAGGAGTAACAAATATTTATTGATCTGTGAGAGTGCTGTACTACACATCCACGCATTACAGAATGTAAACATTACCAATAAAATCCACTGAGTTGCTAGATCTCTTTCTATAGCAACCCCCCAAAATCGTCTACATAGATCAGTGATGGCTAACCTTTTTGCCATCGCATGCCAAAAGCGGGGGGAACATGGGGGTATCACGTGTGTATGTGCCCACATCCATAATCCAATGTTATTGTTATTGTTTTTAATCATGGGGCCAAATTTATATATATATTTTAATTGTATTTTAATGTTTGTAGTTTACGTTTTTACTTGGCTGTTCACCGCCCTGAGTCCTCAGGGAGAAGGGCGGTATACAAATTTAACAATAAATAAATAAATAAATAAAATGTGCCCCCCCCCATGCGCGTGTGACAACCCCCCCCCGCGCTCCCCCCGTTTTTGGCACGTGATGACACAGTGGGCCCGGTAGGCCCATTTTTCACCCTCCCCAGGCTCCAGAGGCTTTCTTGGAGCCTGGGGAGGGCAAAAACAGCCTTCCCCACCCCCCCAAGTGGCCCTTCAGAGGCCGGAAATGGCCTGTTTCCCAACTTGCGGTGGGCCCGGAAGGCCTGAAAATCAGCTGGCCGGCATGCATGCACACTGGAGCTGAGCTAGGGCAACACGCGCATGCCCACAGATATGGCTTCGCGTGCCACCTGTGGCACGCGTGCCATAGGTTTGCCATCACGGACATAGATAAATTAAGCTTTTGCTGGGATTTGAGATTTGTTATTCCTGTTGAAGATTATGTTGACTTTGACTTCCATGGACCTTGCTTCATATTTAAGTGGTCAGTAGAGGGGGGGCGTGCATAAGTGCACTAACGTGCCTATTGTCCCTGTCACTGTATTTTTATTCTCTTATTCTTGTTCTCATTTTTGTTTGACAAAATTCCAATAAATAAATAAATAAAGGTGGTTACCGCAATCAACAGCTAGAGTTGAAGGAACTTAACCAACACATTGTATAGGACTGTGATGGCACGCGTGCCAGAGGTGGCATGCAACGCCCTCTTGGTGGGCTTGCGAGCCGTCACCCCAGTCCAGCTCTGCCAGGCATGGGCATACGCCTCCCGCGAGCCACTTAGTCTTCGGGTCTCTGCCGCGCATGAAGAGGGGTGGCGCGAGTGCGGGGGCGAATGCAGGGGGCATGCATGAGTGGGGCAGGGCGCATGAGTGTAGGGGCCATGCATGCCCCCTGCCCCACTCATGCAGGCCCCCTGCATTGGGGGGGGGGGGGGGCGTGTGCAAGTGCTTTGGGCACTTGGTCCAGAAAAGAGCCTTGGTAGTACAGTGGTCTAAGGCACCCTGTTATTAAGCTGGTTATTAAGACCAGCTGCCTGCAATTACTGCAGGTTCGAATCTCGCCAAGGCTCAAGGTTGACTCAGCCTTCCATCCTTTCTAAGGTAGGTAAATTGAGGACCCAGTTGTGGGGGCAATAAGCTGACTTTGTATAAATATACAAAAGAATGAAGGCTATTGCTTAGCGCATTGTAAGCCGCCCTGAGTCTCCGGAGAAGGGCGGCATATAAATCAAATTTTTTAAAAAAAGGTTAGCCATCACTGGTATAGGACATACAGCAAGTTCTATACACTGGTATAGAACCACCCACTTCTTCGTATCATGAATGTTCTCCAGAAGGTCAGTTTTATATGCATTGCAACTCTTGCATATTCTTTTTCTCCCTTCTACAGACCCGAGAAGCCAACCATGAAAGAAACATCACCTCTGCACAACGCAACTCCAGAATGGCACGGATTTTGGCCCATTCGGCACTCGGCGTGGGCATCGTCATCATCATCTTATACGTCGTCTTTGTTTTTACTTATCTCAAATAAATGAACATTTCTCCATCTCTAAATGACCCAAATAGGACATGATACACCCTTTTAAAAAAATGACACCCACAGGCAAGCGATGAATCATAAACTTTGGGACATGAGAAAGAATTCAGAAATTTGCTATGTTTCCTGCTCCATTTCTGTCTGCTCAATTTACCTTCCTATATTGAATTTACATAGGCTGTTCTTTTCCAGAAGGAAATGACTCACAATTTGGGGGAGGAGGGTACGAGTAGCCTTCTGAACCCACAGCTTCTGCCGTGCTTAGAAAAGCCTTTGCACAGATTTGCCTTGCGCACCAATTGAACGCATGCCAAGATCGAGAGGCTGTTCTCGCGATAATTCGAGCTTTAGTCCTCTCCTGTGAAGTTCAATCCATGGAGCTGCCTTTTTAAACAACATTCAGAAGCTGCAACTGAACCCAAAATGCTGCAGCACAGGCAGTTTGGGGCATTTCATGATATTCTCATGTTCTGTGAGCTGCGCTGGTTTCCAGAGGCTTCTCTGGATGCAATCCAAGATGCTGGTTATCGCCTAGAAAGGTCTACGTTGAGCCAAGATAGTGGCAGGGTAGCAGTTAGCACTTAGACTTACCTACCGCTTCATGCTGCTTTAAAGCACTTCTCTGAGCGGTTTACAACGTCAGCATATTGCCCCCCAACAATACGGGTCCTCATTTTACCAATCTCAGAAGGGTGGAAGGTTGAGTCAATCTTGAGCTGGTCAGGATCAAACTCCTGTCAGTAGACAACACCTGTGTCTGCTTATTTCTGCTTGCCCTACCAGAACTAACAGGTTGGCATGCTCCAAGTCCCTTCCATTAGACAACATCACCTTTGAGGCCCAGGAGTCAACCCTATTCAATGGCGGCACCTTCCTACGGAACAGCTTCTCCACATCTGTTTATTCCTCATCCTGTTGGCCTTTCACAAGATACTTTTCCTTTAGACTTTGGGGCTCACTTAACCCTGCTAAGAGATTTGTTCAGGAGTGGGCTTCAAAAATTTTAGCAAGGGGTTCTCTGCCTGGTTGCTGGGTGGTGTGGCCATGGTGGGCATGGCCTAGTTGGCCTCCTTCACCACAATAAGGGGTGTGTTTTTGCCCTCCCCAGGCTCCAGAGGCTTTCTTCGAGTCTCCGGGAGGACAAAAACAGCCTCCCCAGGCTCCTGAGGCCCTCTGGAGGCTCCGGGCCCATTTCCGGCCTACCCAAACTTCCGGTAGGCCCATTTTTTGCCCTCCCCGAGCCTCTGTGCATGCCCTACACTTACCTGCATCCAAAATGGGCAGCATGGGGACTCCTGGGAGGGGCGGGGCAGGGTGGGCAAGGCCAGCCAGGAGTGGGATTTGGGGGTTCTCTGGACTGCACGGAATCTTAGTTAGAGAACCCCTGCGTACCCCTGGATTTGTTTAATACTGTTCTTTGGATTAGAAGTATATGATTTTTAAGCTTCACACATTTAAGCGTCACACATGTTAAATGACTTAGTTTGGGATGATTGTTTTTATATATACAGTATATTGTTTTGCTGGTTTTGGCTTTTAGCCTCCTGTTGATTGCTAGAATCATTGCTGTGAGATGGGCTACTATATATAAATTGATTAAATAAACAGAATTATTGTGTTTTGTGGCTTTCCCCTTCTGTGGTTTTGTTGGACTTAGGGTCCCTCTTAAGTTCAGTGCAGGCCTCATATATTTTACATACTTTGCATATTTGTAATAAATACATATGAATGTTTTCTATACAATAATAACTTGTACAGTTCATTCACCTCTATGTTCCTCCCCTCAAACCGTTCAATTATATTGGCTGTAGTTGTCCCATGCGCACCAGGCTATCCAGCGTATTTTTACGGTATGTCCAACAAAACACAGAATAAAACAATGGCTCAAGGAACTTGAGAATAATGGAGCATTGCTGCCTCTGAGCATATTTTCAGTTTAGGAATTTAGGAATAAGTAAGTACCAGAATTAAGACTTAAGAGTTTTTGCACTCAAAAATCAACTTGTTTCTCTTCCAGAATTTTTCATTCTCAGCAAAATAGCTTTCCTTTGCAAAGTTATCTTGGAATGGGTTTCATGGAATATATTAAGCTTTCTATTTAGTAAATATATATTTGCTGGGGGGGAAGGGATGTACCTTTCAAAAAATACTATTTTTTCTTCAATAAACGTAAACTGTTCTTCCATAAATCTTGTCGTCTTCCATAGCTCTACCACCACTGAACAGAATGTCCTGATTCTAAAACTATCATAATGAACTGAATAATAAAATAATAAATAATAAAATAATAACTTTATTGTCATTGTACGTGTATACACAGTATACCCATACAACAAAATTCACTTGTTTCAAATTGTTTGTCAATTTTTAACTCTGTGGGCCAAATTTTATATATTCGTTTTAAATTGTTTTTAAATTTTGTGAGTCTATTAAAGTAGGAAAAGTGGATCTAGCTAGATGATCACTGAAGGACCCTCTTTGTTCGTAGTATTGTAGAAGAGAAATTGTGCTTGCAAATGTATCCAGTTGAAATAAAAGGCAGACACATTCCTTCTTTGATGTAGAACCAGTGAGGAGAGGCCCCTCAGTTGCCCCTCAGTTGTCACAGATAAAGACATTTTGGTGAAATACAGTTGAAGGTTAGAGAGGTCAAGTATGACCACATGTAATATTAATAAGAGATAATTTGAATCTATGCTTCAGTAATTGGCTAAAAGAATTATGACTGTGGTAGAGGAAAGTAAATGTAGAAATGGGAGGCTGTAGAGAAACAGCTCCCATCTTATCCCAAAGGTGCTTTTTTCCAGAGGAAACTGGACTTTCTGTTTTTTCTTTGAAGATGTTTCGCTTCTCATCCAAGCTGCTGCTGTTTCTTCTTCTTCTTCTTCTTCTTCTTCTTCTTCTTCTTCTTCTTCTTCTTCTTCTTCTTTCCTTCTTCTTCTTCTTCTTCTTCTTCTTCTTCTTCTTCTTCTTCTTCTCCTCCTCTTTTTTCCTCCTCCTCCGTTTCTCCTCCTCCTCCTCCTCCTCCTCCTCCTCCTCCTCCTCCTTTTTCTTCTTCTTCTTCTTCTTCCTCCTCCTCTTCCTCTTCCTCTTCCTCTTCCTCCTATAATTGCCTCTGGAAATAAGTGCCTTTGGGACAACCATGACCTAGATGACTGAGAATCTCCATAGACATTTAGCTCCCATCTTACTTGGCTCCATGTTAGCTTGTTTGTAGTCCTGGCTTTCAGAATGAGTATTAAAGTTGAGAACACTCTTCACCTGCATATAAACTATAGTGTGCCGCTTGACAACTGGGATGCCAAGAAAGACAACCGTGAGTGTGTGTGTGTGTGTGTGTGTGTGTGTGTGTGTTGTTGATGATGATGATGATGATGATGATGATGATGATGATGATGATGATGATGATGATGATGATGAACCTCTGTAGATCCAACTTTGGGAAGAGGAAAATAGGATACCCCATATAACCCACTTTACTGTCTCCATTAATACAATGCTGTTGTGAACTTCAGTCAAGTTTTGCTTTTCTCTATCCTGTATTTAAGGACTGCAGGGTGAAACCTGTATCCATTTTTATTTCTTTAATATAAATAAGTCTTTCTACCTAAGAACAATATAAAGCCATAAATCATCTAACGAGACATCGTTAAATGTAAATGTCCCTTTTTCTTTTCTTTTCTTTTCTTTTCTTTTCTTTTCTTTTCTTTTCTTTTCTTTTCTTTTTTTGTTCTTTGAACTTCCAAACATTACCTAGTGCTGGTACATTTAACATGCCCCTAATATTCCATGCAAACTATTGCCGGGATGTTACTCTCTTGTATAAACAATGACATACTACCACTCCTTGCAAAACAATGATTCACGACTTCGCCTGATTGCACAATTGATTTAATCAAAGACTTTTTCAAGGAAAGGTATATATTAGATCAGTGGGCTCCAACCTTTGCGGCTCGGTGGCCGGGCTTGGAGGAGGGGAACCACATGAGGTCAACTTGCTCAATTCGCATGAGCGGCAGGACCAGCACGCACGTACATGCACATACAGCTCAATTGCATGTTGACCTGCGCACGCATGTTCGCATGCATGCCAACCCACCACTCCTGCAAGCTGAGTTGTGCATGCACGCCAGCCTGCCTCTTGCACAGCCCAGTTCCGAATAGGCCACAGCCTGGTCATGGGCCGGGAGTTGGGGACCCTGTATTAGATCTTATCAAGTTACTGTGTTTCCCCGAAAATAAGACCCTGTCTTATATTTTTTTGAACCCTGAAATAAGCGCTTGGCCTTATTGCCATGCACTCAAAAGCCCAATTGGGCTTATTATCAGGGGATGTCTTATTTTTGGGAAAACAGGGTACCTATCTTTGGAGTTACCATGCAGCTATTTCACCATTTACTAATAACTCACTCAGCTGCTATAAATGCTAGAGTAGTGGCCAAAATTGTGGAAACCTTTTGGGAAAAGTGTATTTTTGAGATTTGATGGCTAATAACACCACTTTTTTGGGGGGGGAGTTTCAACATAATCCTATTCCACTGCTGGAATGGGCTGGGAATAGCCCAGACCTTCACCCAATTGAAAATCTATGGAGCTGACTAAAGAAACTTGTTAATCAGAAGCGACCCAGCAATAAAACCCAGTGAATAGAAGCAATCATTCAATCTTGGTTTCACATTAGAACAACTGCAGAACTCAAAGACTTGGTTCACTCCATGGGAAGATGTTGTAAGGCCGTAATTCATGCTAAAGGTTACCCAAACTAAGTATTAACTGACAAAAGTTTTTGCATTACATTCCTGATTAAATTATCTTTCCACTGATACAGTATATCATTTTATGGTACTACTCCCCCAAAAAAGTGGTGTTATTAGCTAGTTTTAGAAAATACACTTTTCCCAAAAGGTTTTCACAATTTTGGCCACTACTGTATAAGTAAACACAGAATGAGGGGCTTGAGGGTTGTTTTTTTTTTACTTTTTTTTTTCAGTCCTGTCATAACTTCTATTCTGATTGATTGAGCAAATAACTCTAATCATGGTGGTGTCTTCAGAAGGGTAACTAATCTTAAAAGAAAGGCGTTATGGATAACAGCCTGGCTAGGTGGCTCAGTGGCTAAGACGCTGAGCTTGTCGATCAGAAAGGTCGGCAGTTCGGCGGTTCGAATGCCTAGTACAGGTCTCCTGCGTGAGCAGGGGGTTGGACTAGATGACCTCCAAGGTCCCTTCCAACTCTGTTACTGTTATCATTATTAACTTGTTCAGAGCCCTCATGGTAGGGCCAGTTCTAGATTCCATCCACTCACCCACCAGCTATTGCCAAGAGAACATCTGAATCCATCCAGGCTCTCCTTCCAAATCCCAGCATGAAAATTACTTAAAAATTGTGAAAAGAAGGTTAAAATTTACTCCTCAATTGTTTCTATTGGGTATAACTACAGACTGTACAGTTTTAGAGACTAAATTGATTTTGAACTTAATATCAGCAGCTAGGCTGCTGGTAGCTCAATATTGGAAGAAAGACTCTTTGCCTACTATTGAAGAGTGGACATTGAAATTAACAAACCTAGCAGAAATGGCGAAAATCTTGGCGTATTTGAAGGACCACACGCAAGGAAGATACGTATCGGAATGGAGAAGATGGATTGATTATATTCAAAATAAGTATCAGACAAGAAAATATCAAATAGCTTATGAATGACTGTTAGTATTAGAAGTATTTGGTTATCGATAGTGGAGTTAAGGTTTCAGTGGGGGAGGTAGTATTTTGAGGTTGAGTAGATTAATCTAGTTTATGTTTGACTAAATGAAATACCTTGTATTTTGCTCTGGGAAGTCGGGGGGGAGGGTGGGATGAAGGGGGGAAAGGGTGGGGGGAACAGGGGGGGAATTTTCTCTTTTTTGTAAAACTTTTCAATAAAAAAAATTACTTAAAAATCGAACTCTCCTTTTTTCTTACAGTGCTATGTGAAGAATATGGAGGGAGGCAGTGGTGGGTTTCAAAAATTTTTACTACTGGTTCTGTGGGTGTGGCTTGGTGGGTGTGGCAGGGGAAGGATACTGTAAAATCCCCATTCCCTCCCCACTCTAGGGGAAGGTTACTGCAAAATCCCCATTTCCTCCCGATCAGCTGGGATTTGGGAGGCAGAGAATCGATGGGGGCAGGGCCAGTCAGAATTTTTACTACCGGTTCTCCGAACTACTCAAAATTTCCACTACCGGTTCTCCAGAACTGGTCAGAACCTGCTGAAACCCACCTCTGGAGGGAGGGAACATGGATGTGTCCATGTGCATGTCGTGCTTGCTCCCTGGAAGAAAGATTGGCTTAACTATTTATGCATCAGTCTGGAAAGCTCTCTAATTTATGTTGTGTAGATAGGCGAAAGGACAGGCCGGTCAGGCAAGCAGGAATCTGAAAGGCGAAAAGTAAAACTTTTCTGGACACAAACCCTTTTAAGTATCAGCAGGCAAAAATTTAGTTGTTTATTATCTAGTCTTCTGTTGGGTTTAGACAGTGAAACGTTGTGCCGCTGAAGACCGAGGGGTTGAGTCACATGCCAGAGAAGCAGGAAGGGGGTTGATGCTGTAACGGAGGGAGAGAGAGAGAGAGCAGTAAGATCCACCAGAAGAGGCAAAGAGCAGAAGGAGGAGGCCAAGAAGAGGGGGAGAAAGTGCAAGAGAAGAGAGGAGAGAGAGGAAGAACGGATTCAGCCTGCAATACATCAGAAACAGACAAAAAGAAGAAACCAGTATTGGGGGTGGGGAGTGAATTGACTCCATCTGAACAGCCCAAGATCAAGCAACATGAGCAATCCACAATACCAAACCTTCCACGGGGATCAACCTCCCTCTCCAAACCCGCCTTCCTACTCAGAAAAGGATCCCTGCAAAGAATCTGACCCCGCTGGATCAAAACTTCCCATGGGCCAAGGGACAGCTGCCCCTCTGCCTCCTTCCTATGGCTTACCCAGCTCAACCTACCAACCTCCGATCATTCAGTCCCAGCAGACGGTCCTGATTACCCCGGTCTACCCTTCCACTGAACCGGATTACCTGGCCTACTCCATCTTCACCATGCTCTTCTGCTGCTTACCTTTGGGTATCGCTGCCTTGGTTTTCTCCATACAGGTAAGGGTTTGAGAAGCCTGACTAGGTGGCTCAAGTGGCTAAGACGCTGAGCTTGTCGATCA